ATAGAGCTCCTTTCTATTCCGAATTCCCCCTGATGGAAATCGAAAGCGCTCCATGCAAATCTCCCTCGTGTCGCCTTTTCTACGCATTTTCACTTTGCCGCACAATAGATTTACATAAAAATGCACTTGATCTGCTCGCCTTCGAATGGTGTGGACCTCCATGTACTATATCTATAGATATCTTGGTACATATATCTCCATTCAGCTGCCAGTGCGATTTATTTGCACTTGGTGATGAGTACGTTCTCCTTATCCTCGCCCGTGTTTGAGCTTGTCTTACATGGCGGGAAAGCTAATCGGCTTTGCATTGCGAAATATTTACACATGGGCCGAGTAGTACCCCAAATTTGCATTAATTCAGGTCCTCTGTATGCCTGAGTAGCTACCGGGCGTGGCATAACATCAATATATCTTCAGTATACTGCAATGATAGTATTCTTCCCTTAGGCACAGGATTCCATCATATATACATATATGTTTGTTATTTGTTAAAACAACATTTTATTATGATATTGTGGTTTCAATAACACATGAAAATATCATCTTTAGCTTAATAGATTAAAATAAATTTATTGATAGTAATTTTTGTACATCTTTCTTAAGTTATAACGCGTTTAAGTTCATACCATTTTGTAGATGGATATCTATATAAAATCACTTTACTTGGATGCCAGATTCATAAGAAACAAATGTATTTATCGGATGCAAAGAACTTGCATGTATATCTTGAAATCTATAATTTATTAAATTTTGTTTGATACCATCATCTTTAAAATTGTTCAGAAGCTAATATAATTTATTAAATTTAATTTCTTGTTTTCAAAAATGTTATGATATCTTAACTAAACAAACTTTGTTTTAATATCAACACTTATAAAAAATTTAAGAGTTTCTGTGGGAAGAATTGTATTTAAGAAATATGAAAATATTTTCTCTTTAATCTGGTCAATTATATTTTGTTCAGGAGCAACCTTTTACCAATATTTCATCTGATATCTAAATCAATAATAATCCTTTCAAAAGGATAACTATTTTTGTCTAATTTTCCTCATCAAGTATTTTCTTACTCTAACTTTCCCCTCTTAATTGCTAAACTAAAATCGGATATGCTATTTTTTCTTAAAGCCTTAGCTCTGTAATTGAGCCTGTCAACTAGGTTTATGAACTGCTGCCGCCCCGTCGCCACCTGACCCCTTATGGACTAATTAATTCCTGGCCCGCCTCCTCAGGTGGCGACTGGAAGCAGGTCAGCGGTGGAATTACACGCTCCGGATTACACCCTAAGCTGGAGCTCAGAGCTCTTGAGTTGGGTCAGTGCCTGCAGTCCCTAATCCTTTTGCATGACATTATGGCTGAGCTGTTGCCTAATTGCCGCACCGCTGGATAACTGGGGGCAGCAGCTTTAACTCGGGACTGGGACTCCAGCAGCCAGGCATCAATAATAAATGACAGACGACAAAAGTTGCAAACCTTTTTCGGCACTTATCTGTCACACGTCACATGGCGCCAACATCATTTGTCAATTGTCACGGCTTCTGGCTTAACTGGAACTCAGCCCTTATCTTCTCCGTAACCCCTTCCCCGGAGAAGAAGGGTTCTTCCCAGTTAATTTGCAAGCGCCCATCGAGAGCCAGAAATACAGAAATCCGGTGTTTGCCTACGTTTCGGTTCCCTCGTCACGCTCAATTGTTAAAAATGACAACTAATTAATGTCTGTCCACCCACCCACTGACCATTGGTTATGGATGTACGAGTCCCAGCACTTTGGGCCAGAAATCGAAATTCTCTATCTGGATTGAGCTTAATTTGAGGTCAACTTCCAGAGTGATTTGTCGGTTTAAAGGTTAATGGGTGGTCTGTGGGTTTTCGCTGAGTAAAATGCCAGAGAACTGAAACTACAATTTGGGCCAGAATCAATCACCTTACAATCATTTTACAGAGGAAATTAAAACTAGAATTGGTAAAGGAAGTGACATTATGATACTCTTTATAGTTTCAAATAATTACTTTTAATAATTTTTATTAAATACAAAATATGAATATGTTTTTATATTTCAGTTCTTGGTACAGTAGATATAAATCACTATTAATAATAATAATTATTACTTATATATTATTACTATGTTACAATCTTTAACTTTTTTTTTGATGTGGGGAAGGTAATGACAAAAAAAATTCGACCACTTTAAAATTAAGTGAGAACATAATTTTAAAATTTGTAGCCTAACCATGGCTCTAATCATCGGAATTCCCTTTGAACTAAGGTGTTATATAATTTCACATGAATCCAGGTCTTAAAATAAAACTAAATACAGAGCTTGCGGTGGAATCCTCAAACATCTAGCTTCTCACATGAAATGCTGTTCAAAAGAGCGGCACAAATGACTTCATTAGAGCGCTCTTCTCGAAAGCCCCTTTGAGGAACCACCCACTTCCCATCCCATGGGTGCGTGCTTATTAGTTAATCATGCCCCGCAACCTACAAAGCGATTCCACATCCACTTAGTGGAGATAAGTACCAGAAACGGATGGCAGATGGGTGACGAAAACTCCCGGGCTGGACAAATACCATCATTAACTTTAGCTCAAGCCGTTGGCCGCCAGCGATTTTATTGTTTTTGGCTTTGGCTTAAGCTCCAGGATCTCGGAACCCGGAACCCAGATCCCAGCTTCCAGTTCCCAGCTCCTCCCTCTCCTCCTCCCGTGCCTAATGATTCGCGCTGTGGCTCAGCTTAATGACAGCAAACGGGCCCAACTTTTCAAACTGCATTGGGTGCATTTACTACTGGTAGTCGTGTGGTCGTCGTCCTTCTCCTGGCAGACGAACAGCACATGGACACGGGTTTTCTGCTAAGTTGGCCACTCCTCACTACCCACTACCCATTCCCATTCCCACTGCTGTTTGTGCCCGTCTAATGCTGCAATTTGTAGACCGCTGGGTTTATTACGGCCTGTGGCTGCCGGCGGGAAGAGAGCGACACTTTAGCCCCAGGGGTCCTCCCAGCAGGAAGGTCCATCGGTTCGACAGGGTTAAAAACCCCACTTGCATATAAGTTCATACAACTGGAGTCATAAAAATAGCTATAGTTAAAATTTGTCTCAAATCTTCTTATGTCAATTAACATATTTTTTATACAAAATTATAAAATTTAAAAACAAATATTGAACTTTAATTAAAAAATCACATATAATATTTCAAAATGTTTTTTTAAGTTTTTAGATTATAAATTTATTTGTCATTAAGTTATTAATTCGTTATTAAAAATAATATATTTAAAATGTTCTTTATAAGAAAACTGGCAAAAACTTCTCTCTTAAAAAAAAGGTCGTATATAAAGACAATCTTTATAACAAAAACCCTTTTCTTTTTTTTTAAATACGAAATTGAGGAAAATAATTAAAGCACTAAAGACCTTTTTTTAGTATCCTATAGATATAAAGTGAAAAGTACTTACCAGTAAATAATGATTAGAAATTGGATTTAATGCGAAATCGTTTTCTTAAAATAAGTTTTTCAACCACATTTTATTGATTACAACATTTTTTCATAATATCATAATAAGATTTAAGTCTAATATATTTTATTGAAAGTCTAATTTAAAAAAGATTTCATATGTATTGCGACGGGTAATAATATTTTTGTAGTCCTATAGTAGACCTAGAGAAATAAGGAACGATGTCAAATATAAAATTAATGACCCCTTTACTTGTAAATATTAAATATGCATCCTCAGATGAATATAACTTTAACATCTAGTGCTAACCTATATTTATTGCTAGGGACAATTTGTAATGCCAAGGGTGCTATGTTTCTGACCACATCCGTTATCATTTCCACATGCCATACTTACAAGCGCATAGAGAACTTGAGCAGGAGGCTGCTTATGGGGCTGGCCCAAAACTTTCGGCAGCTTGGCAAGTTGGCGACATTTTCGGCTGCCAAAAACTTTGCGAACTTTTGCGCCATGGCTGCGAGTCCGCAAAGAGCTCGTTCCGCTTTGAGTGGAGTTCATTACGAATGCCGCGTGTTGACTTATGCATAATTACTGTTTCCTCGGACCCCGGATGCCCTCCATCGCCCCACACCCAATCCAATGGATTGCCAACGCTTCGGTTCCCAGGACCCCACTTGGCACAAGTTTTTTGGAGCCGCTGCAAGGCGGCACTGCGCTCCAGTTGGGTCATATGCTCATTTGTGTGCATGACGCACTGACCTGTTTCTAATGCAACAAAAACGTTAAGCGCCTGCCAGCCACTCGCAGTGCAGTCAACTGTGTCCTCTTGGCTCAGAGAGCACACCCCCTACCCACTCGGGCGCCCATGGAGCCGTAAGACCCCCGTATACCTCCATAGCATACCATGCCACCCACGTAGCATACTTTTTTGCGCTGTCTGCCGGGGAGTTTATTTTACGCACGCCTTGACCAGACGGAGGCGGCTGCAGCCTTCCACTTTGCACTCGCAGGCAAGTGGAAAAGTCAAGCGGATAAACAAGAGATTAAAATGTCATAAACAATGCTTTTTGCCACTCCAGCTAAGCAACTTAATGAAAGCCAGGGAAACGGGAAATGGGTTTCCTTTGCTGCAGTCGCAAAGTTTCAGCTTCAAGTTTCAACCGAAAAGCGGTGTATCTGCCTCGAATATCCCGTCGATGCAACTCAATAAATTTCCATTTAACTTTTGATTTGTTTCCATGACTTTTTCCGCCCAACAAGACCAGAGAATTCAATTGAAATTGTTTACAAAACAAGCTACACGAAAAGTTGTTATCAACTATTTGAATACCAGTCAAAAACTAAATCTTATCGGCTGTTTTGTAACATAAAAATTAACTTATATATAGTTTAACTTATTGTTAAAGAAATATTATACCTTTTTTTAGTAATTTCAAAAGATAAATAAGAGAAATTTGTCCCATAAAGTATCATCCATAAGCTAACTAATCCAAAAAAGGGCATCGAACCATCGACTCATCGCCAGTAAAAACTTTCCATTTGTAACACAATTGAAAAAAACTTTATTTTCGTTGGGCCTGCGAGCAGGAGGGTTGCACAAATGACAAACTATCATACAGAGGCATAAATTAGTCTCGCATATTTGCGCCAAACAAGAAACTATAAAACACTTAGATATATTCAAAATTGGATTCACTGCCCATGGGCATACACACACACACACAACTTCGTACACACACATGTGCGTCTTTTTATAATTCCTTCGATTTACGACATTTAGGGGCTATGCTAAATGAAATACTGGATGCCAAGTCGGTGCAAGCAAAACCTCAGACAATTTTCGGCGACAAGAACCAGCCACGCTACTGATGCTGAACGAAAACTGGTCTTTGCCGGCGAAAATTACAGATACGATACAAATTGTGAGGACTAATTTCCCGGTTATATGTTATGTGTTATGTGGTTACGGTATTAAGTATTGATTCGTTTACAAATACATGTGGATAGACTGAAGGAATAAAGGAATGAATATTGAGTGCGCATTGAACAATCAAATAAGGTGTGAACTAATGAAGCCAGCCCGCTTAATCGGCGGCGGCGTTGATGGTGATGGTCTTGCCCTTCGGATCGTCGAAGCGGTCCATCGTGTTGATGTCCATCATCCAGCAGACGCCGACGAACATGATGACCAGCAGGAGGGCGACCACGAACAGACCCATCAGGATGCCGGGCGTCACGAAGCCCACGCAGTCCCAGGAATCGCCGAAGACAAAGTTATCCTTGTAGGTGGCATCGAAGGGAGCCTGCAGCTGCAGGGACTTGAAGCTCAGGGTGTTGTACATGTTGTTGACGGCCGTCGAGTCGAGGGTGAGGTTGCCGCACGAGAAGGAGAACGTGGTGGGGGCATTCACACCGGTGGAGCGGAAGTTGCTGCCGTCGTAGGCCAGGTTGCTCACGCTAAAGTAGCCGCCATCATAAAGAATGTCAAAGGTGATTGGCTTGGCGGCATCACTTGTGGCCAGCTCAACGGAGAACTTGGTAGAGGGGGTGGAGGAGTTGGTGACCTTGATTCCGGTGACGGTAACAGGGTTGCCGTTGTAGAGCAGGGCGGTGTAGAACATCTGAAACTGGTTGCCGACGTACCACATGGTTCCACCGGTGGTGGCAGCCGTGTCACGGCGGGTGCGACGCTGCACCACGGGGGCGGTGGAGGGGGCGGCCAGGTAGAGATAAGCCACCTTGCACTCGAACTGCTTGCTGATAGCGGCGATGGCGGCGTCTGAAGGAGTTTGAAATGTAAGCAACGTAAAATAAGTGTGTCACACGGACTGTTTTCTGATAAAGATCACCCACCATGTGACTCCAGGCTGGCCTCCCGGCTCTCGGCGGCGTCCTCGAAGCTCACGAAGAGGGCCGTGCCCACGGAGCACTTGGCCGGGGTGGTCAGCTTTCCGCTGGCATCGATGGTGTTGTGCTCTCGCTTGGCGGCCACCGAACGCAGTGCCTCCGAGGGGTTCTCCACGCTGGTGTAGTAGGTCTTGGGGCTGACTCCCTGCAGCTGGGCGTAGCAGGACTGCGACTGGGAGTTGGAGCACAGGAAGTCCTTGCTGCTCAGCTGGGTGGGTTTCGAGGGAATTCACAGTTCAAGTTATCTTTTATAGCTAGCATATGTACTCAAGCACTTACGCCATTTTCCTCGAAGGCCACGACCATGTGATCTTCCAGCAACGTTGCCAACTGCTCGGCGAACTCCGCCTGGGGCACGGTCTTCAGGGAGGGCTTCGCCACACTGGGATACAAGGGGTTAGCATTATGGACACATTCAACTGGTGGATCACCGCAGTAGCTAAACAAACCCACCTGTTGGCTCCCCACAGAAAGACGGGCGTTTGCTCCGCCAAGGCGGCCCCAATGACGCACAACGCAATCAGCGATTTCCACAACATCTCGCTGGATCCGCTTACTTCGTGGGTTTTACGGGTATAAAAACAAAGGAAAACAAAGAAAGCATAAGTTAAGAACCAAGGGGAACACAAGAGGCACTAGAAACCAACCGAAAAGTGAACTGAAACTACAAACGAAAAATGGTGGTGAAAATTTTCGCTTTGCTGCACGACGTCGCCTATTCCAGTGAGAAAAAAACCTTATGACGGTCATGTGATGCGCACCAGCTGACCGCAGGGTTGTCAAGACGTGCTAAAAAATGGGATTAAAAAAATACTGGAAAAAGTAATTACACAAATAATGATCATTTATTAAGGTTTTTAGAGTATTAACAATTTAGAATTACATTTAAAATGTACACTTAATTAAAAATAATTAGAGTATTTCAAATATGAAATTAGGTGGCGACCTTGGGTGCACCCTCAGCATGGACACACACCGTTCCATTTAGTGGAAGTGAACTGAACCAGTTCCGAAGTTCCGCCTGTTGATTATAACAACTTTAATTCAAAGAAATATATTAAAGCATTTCCACCAATTATTAACAAAAGCTTTTTTTTAAAAGTATATTTTAAAAGAAACAATTTGTACTATTATTTATATTACCTGAACCCGGGAGTTTTGTGGTATTTTTAATCACTCCCACCACGGCCACACTTTTCCCGAGGAAAAACAAAGTTTTTGTTATGATTTTTCTGCGGGAATAATGAATGAAATGTGCCATTTAAGGACCTGAGGATGCGCTTGCGTCGCCGCTGGCCGCGAAGGATGCGGCGTGTCATCGAACAATTGCGACTGCAGTCCCGCAGGAAGCTGCAGCTGCTCCTGGGTGAGTTGTCCCATACCTACCCAAACCTCTCCTATTACTTAACTAATTTAGGGTTTACTATCTTCCAGGGTTTGGAGGACTCTGCCTGGTGGTTTGGCTAGCTCTTAACTATCTCTCCGCGTCGGAGAACGGCAGCACCGGCGACTCCAGCAGCTCCTGCAGCGCAATCGATGCGGTTTACACTTGGGTCAACGGCTCGGATCCCAACTTCATTGAGTCCATCCGGCGATTTGACTTTAAACACGATCCCTCGCGATTCGATGACAAGAATGAGCTGCGCTACTCCCTGAGATCGCTGGAGAAGCACGCCAATTGGATCCGGCACGTCTACATAGTGACCAATAGCCAGATTCCCAATTGGCTGGATCTCAGCTACGAAAGAGTTACAGTGGTGCCACACGAAGTGCTCGCCCCCGATCCCGCCCAGCTGCCCACCTTCTCCAGCTCGGCCATCGAGACATTCCTGCACCGCATACCAAAGCTGTCCAAGAGGTTTCTCTACCTCAACGATGACATATTCCTGGGAGCACCACTCTATCCGGAGGATCTGTATACAGAGGCGGAGGGAGTGCGCGTGTACCAGGCCTGGATGGTACCGGACTGCGCCCTGGACTGCCCGTGGACGTACATAGGAGATGGAGCCTGCGATCGGCACTGCAACATCGATGCCTGCCAGTTCGATGGAGGAGACTGTAGCGAAACTGAGTCAGCGGACGGTGCCCACGTCTTTCCACAAAGCCAGGAGGTGCTCGAAGTGGAACCCGTCGCTGTACCAAAAACTCCTGTCCACCGCTTCCCTCACGTGGGCCTCCAAAAGCTGTTCAAGAGCAGCTCGGCCAATTTCAAGGAAGTAATGCGCCACCGTAATGTGTCGACACTCAAAGAGCTCCGCCGCATCGTAGAGCGATTTAACCGTGCCAAACTGATGTCGCTGAATCCGGAAATGGAGGCTACTAGCTCCGAGCCACCGACTACCCAACGAAGTACAGTTCCCAAAGAGGAGTACCAATCATCCACCAACATATACTCCCACTCGCTTATTGCCACCAATATGTTGCTTAATCGAGTCTATGGCTTCAAGGCACGTCATGTTCTAGCCCACGTTGGTTTCCTGATCGACAAGGATATTATGGAGGCCATGCAGCGACGTTTCCGCCAACAAGTTCAGAGCACGGCCCGGCAGCGCTTTCGGTCCGCTACCGATTTGCAGTTCGCCTTTGCTTACTACTCCTTCCTGATGAGCGAAACGAAGGTGATGGGTGTGGAGGAGATCTTTGATGAGTTCGACACCGATGGCTCGGCCACCTGGTCGGATAGGGAGGTGCGCACCTTCCTCACACGCATTTATCCGCCGCCACTAGACTGGTCAGCCATGCGATACTTCGAGGAGGTGATTCAGAATTGCACTAGGAATCTGGGCATGAGTACAAAAGCTGATACAGTTGAACACTCCACGCTGGTCTACGAGCGATATGAGGATTCAAATTTGGTTGGTATAGATCATATATCTCAGAGAATTAATTTAACAGTTTAATCCTATTCCAATAGCCCACCATCACCAGAGATCTGGTAGTGAGATGTTCGCTTCTGGCTGAAGCTTTGGCGGCTAACTTCGCCGTTCGACCCAAGTATCACTTCCATGTCAGCCCCAAGAGAGTTTCGCACAGCAACTTTATGATGCTCACCTCGAACCTTACTGATGTGGTGGAATCTCTAGACCGATTGCGCCGGAATCCGCGCAAGTTCAACTGTATCAATGACAATATGGATGCTAGTAGGCGGGAAGACAACGCGATGGTTCGCCACCTGCTGGAGGATTTTTACCTGTCCTTTTTTCCGCGGCGCAGCAAGTTCGAGCTTCCGCCGCAATTCCGCAATCGATACGCATCCTGGCGGGACTATCAGCGCTGGAAGCGAAGGAAGCGCGCCGTTCTAGTGATCGGGTATGGAGTGACACTGCTGCTGGTCATCTTTCTGCTGCGTTTTATGTGCCACCACAAGGCCAAGTTTGTGAGGCGCTGTGCGCAGCGCTTGTAGGTGTCATCTTTGGGAAATTCTCTCTTCCGCAATGTTGTGATATGTTGTGAACATTTATGTATATCGGCCATTTCTGCAAGCGATCATAGTCAAATCTAGTTGTAGGCCATGTGTAAGGCTATTTTTCTAGTTATTTAGATGCATGCTAGAGGCTACTTTTAAGATTAGTCAATAAGTGTGAGTACCTAGTGAAATTTTGTAGAATCTTTTGTTATTTAGCAGTCGAACTGTTTTAGGTTGAATTTCATACCACTTAAGTTCATCATACCAAGTGCAAATCTTTGTTTGATATTGTCTCTCGAATAGTACTGTACTTTCCAAGACGTAAGTCGAACTTATGATCGTTTAAAGATAATTTTTTATATAAATATATCCAATTGATGGTGTAAACTCCATTAAAAAGCAAGTATGTTCTTCGATCTAAACAGGATATGTATATATTCTGTATTGATTTCCGCAGCTCTGGAACTAGGAAACATTCGCACATAGAGGCTTTATTAAATTAGTTTTTTTATGATTATTGGTTGGCTGCTGTCCAAAACTACAGATTGCTGGCAGCACTTAGCTTCGGTTCCGGAGTTTGGACTACGGGTTCCCTGGCGCGTCGATGATTACCGCAAAATTTGACCACCCGCTGAGCGGTGGGCGTTGCCAAACAATTCACTGGTGGCTCGCAAACACTCTAACTACGTCATCACATTTTCGCCCGGTTTTTTACGCTTACGGCCAGGGGCCAGTGGGTGGTTTGTAATTACGGACGACGGGAGCCACCCACGCCCATCTCTCCCTTGGAACGATGGCCACAAAAAACCCAGACTCCGCACTTTGCGGGCCGGAAGTCGGTGGGCGGAACTGGAGCGAGTCCAGACAGACTGACACGGGTCTCCTTGGTCCCCTTTTTGGGGGCGTGGCACGGGCCAGGGCGATAGCTCCCCAATGTCGTGTACATATGATGATGATTTGCTCTTTTTGCGAGGAACATCTTGGTTTTTTATTATTCGGCATTCATGGGATTTGCCGTTTTATTTCGCCAACTCATGAAGTGCTCAAGAGGATGGGGAAATAGTGGGTGTAACCTATCCGGATGCTGTGGCATAAATTGCGTCCGCCGTTTTTTACCCCACTGGAAAATCATGGGTCGAATTACTGTATCGAAGTGGCTCAGCGGGAGTTCTCCCATTCCCTTTGTGTCCTGCGATGGACAAGAATATCAATTACCCAAAACAGCAGCTCAGCTCAGATCCTATCTGATCCAATCTCTTATCAATTATCTGCACGTGTGTCCTGAGTTCTACGTTCTTAACGAGTCCCTATATACAGGACACGTAGACCTAGCCGCATTCTGGCCTCGTAACTCATTCTAAATGATCTCTAGTTGGGCCACCCAGACATTCGGAATCAGACCTGAAATACGTGCACACGCCACAATTTGGTTTATTATGGTTTATGGTGTCCCTAATCTCGATTCTCGGTCTTATGTGGTCTACCACAGAGCGGAAGTGTTCGTGGGCTGGCAGAGCTCGGTTCTTTGATTATTGCCTGATCGTTTTGCCAAATTATGCAAAAGGTAAAGGGGAAGAATGTGTGTGGGATCGGAATAGACCTGATTAAAAAGAGGAAATATCTATATCCTGTTTATCAATGAAAGTTTTCTCATATGCATATTATATCATTTACTATATAATCGAGTTATATTAACATTATATAAGTTTAGAATACATTTTAACTCAATTTAAGGATGCCGAATGATATCTTTTCATATCGAAGCCCCCACTCGATCTTCTGTGGGTACTTCCTTTTACAGGTCCCTACCAACTCGATCTATCCCATATTAAGAACCCAAACCCCCACCTAATCCTCAGAAGTGCCGACGCGTTGACCAAATCCCAGACAGTTGGACACCCGTTTCTAATATTTTTCCCCGAAACGTTTAGCTTTCTAGGGATGGGGATAGATGGATGTAATATATTTATATTTAATTGGCTGGCACGAAATCGTTGGACACCGTTTGACAAACGGCTTCCTTCGTGACCAGAAAGTAGCCGCGAAAAGTCTTTTGAAAATTGATCAATTCAAATATGCATTTCTATAATATTTTCGAAATGCATTATTCTATTTTTCTTTATTGCATTATTCATGCGGTCGGCACTTTGTTTGTGGCTCGCTGCATATAGTAATAATCATTATCAAATTGTCCGAATATCTACCGCCCCCACGGGAGGGTGAGAACAGGGGGGCGTGACCGCAGCGACATGTATAAAACTGCAGTATAAATAAAGAATTAAGACATTAAATCGTTCATTGCGGCAATTTACATTCATTATTATTACGAGCTCAGCGGTACGTGCCCATAAGCCATGGGAATTGGAATACGGACGGACGGCGATGGACATTGGCGGACAGAAACCGGCGACACTGGCCAATGGAGAGGGGCTGGCTCTGATGACGGGGGACTTGGATGGAGATGGGGCTGGGGAGACAGTCAGAACGGCCGCCGCTTGCATGCTTTATGTCTTGGTATTGAAAATTAATAAAATCATAAAATGGTAATTAATTAATTCACCAAATAAAACGAAAACCAATGAGAGTGAAGTAGGCAGTAAAGGGGATAGTACACAAATATACCCTAGACATAAAGCGAAGGAATATGAAATACATATATCAGATTTACTAGAAAGTTTTTAGGTGTAACGTAACTTCTAGAAAAGCGGTCAAAATTGTCAATTTCTTAAATAGTATAGTATAGTATTTTTGCATTATTACATAAAAAACATTTCTGCATCATTAACAATTAAATGAAGGTTGTGGCTTAGTTTAAACCTTTGTAAAATCTAAAGTTTAGTCAACCATATTAAAGAAAGAATATCCGTACTTCAATATAATTTATATATAGATAGTATACTTGAGAGACTAAAGACCAATTTGTTATCTTAAACATCTATGGTAATAAAATAATTGTTTAACATTTTGGGGCATATCCATATATGATTGTAGATCAAAGCATTCATAAATGTTTTCCTTAAAAACTTTCTACAGGATATTAAGAGATTACATTTTCACGTAATCCCAAGCAAATCTATAAAAACAGAAGAGAAAATAAAATGGAGCCCCGAATGGGTATATAAATTGGGTCATTAGGGTACTTAACAAAATATAAAGTCAATTAGTCAGGATATATGAATTTCCTATAAATAACATTGCCTCGTAGGGTTCCAACTCCACTGATATACCCATTCTGCTACCGTTTCGACCTGCCCCGTTCCCAAAAGCGAATACCCAAATGCACTGCCGCCGGTAGCTGCCGCCTGTCCGCCCTGACGGATCGTCATCGCAGCCGCTGATTAGGGATTCAAGTGCGTGAGTGCGTTTTCGTTTTGATTTTTTTCGATTCTGTCTTCGGCGGAATTTCAACCGGCGGATCGTAGCCGTGGGTGCCCGATCGTCCGTCTGTGGGGACTGACAGATCGCATGGCAATGCCAGTAGTACCCCCGCATACCCCTCTCGTTTACAGGCCGTTTACATCGCTGATTGCCGCCGATTCTTGATGAGTGGCAGCCAATTCATGGGCAGTTAATTCATGGAGATATTCCCGCCGTTGACAAGTGCACTGTAATGAGTCGTCCTCGGTGCCTTTGAAGGCCTGCGAAGTCCGCTGATGGCCCTGGCAACATGGCAACATGGCAACAAACTTGCCGCTAACCGAGCGAAACCCGGACAAATTCCCTCCGCCACATGTGTGTTTTGCAAAAGTGGGCGTGTCCCGGCCTTTTGACAAATTATGACAGCGCGCATTTCTGGCTTGATTTATGGGCGTCCGTTTAAAGCCCTGCATTCAACTATGACCCCCTTTCGCCGCTCGCAGGATCCGGATTTGAATCTCTATAGAGGGTATACGTCGCGGACTTCCTTACCTCCCATACCCATTTTTTAATGATTTTAAAGTGATTTTTAACGTGCTGCCTTACGGTCGCTTAACCGATCTGGGCGACACAAATCCCCGCGTAATTAATGGCAATATAATTTACAACAAAGGCAACTCCGGCAAAAAGGCGAAAAGTACTATACAACATGGAACTACATAGAAGCAATCAGAGGTGGCTGATTCTGATGATGATGACTTGGAGGTTTGGCCTCAACGAATTGCTAGTGCACTACAGAAAAAAGTTAGAACTAAGCTGGATTTAAATAATGTGTAAGCATTGGGTGTTTTGTTTAAATAAATATATTAAAGTATTAATAGAAGAACTGTTTTATATCTTCTACATATTACAAGGCACAAAAATATCAAAACTAAAGGTGCACATTGATTAATACCCATAGAATTATCAATTTAAACAACGAAATAGTTACTCCCCCAGCAACAAAATACACACTACTTACCATTTTATGGTAGGTTTACTATTAAATAGTAACCAAAGCCATAGCTGATTAATTGTTAATATTTTTTCTACTGTTACCTAACTATGTGTATTGGTAAATTTAACACTTATCATTTTTTGTGTGTAGGAATTTTTATTCTGACAATCTTAACTTCAAATTTTCGTTTCTCCAGTTAGTAAAGCCCTTAGCATATTTACAATTTTAAACATTACCCCTTACCAACTAGAACAGGTTTCGAAAATTGGAGATCACATTCTAAGATCTAAAAGGTCTTACAACTAAAAGGTACTGTTTATTAACTGCTACTGTTAATGATTTTCTTTTGTAAGATATTCTAAATACCCATATCCTTGATACCCTCCCATTGTAGCTCACTCCGGAACCAACCCAGCCGAACTCCGATCCTGCCGCACTTTGTTCATTTGCCGCAAAGTCAGCTCCCATCTCTCGAGTTCCAGCTTCCGATTCTGGATTCCAAAAGAACATCGCTCGGCAATCCAGCAGCCGGCAGCAAATTGCCTGCAAAGTGTTGCAATAATACAAACCCATGCTTGGAGGCGTGTCCCAACATAAAGCTGCTAGGAACGAAACACGAGGGTGATACCGATACCGATATGGCAAGGGGTCCTTTTCCCAGTTCGAGTCCCTTTCCCTGGGGTGGGTTTCCCAGCTAGCCCGGCACAATTAGGCAGTCGAGAGCGCAGAGGGGCGAGCAGGGGAGTTACAACAAACAAAAGTCAGGCAGCCAATAAGTCGCTAATGCAATTAAAAACTCACACAAAGGGAGGGAGATCCTGATCCTGATCCTGATGCTGATGCTAATAAGTCATGAGGGAAGAGTCCTGGATTCAGGATCCGCATCCCAGTCTGCCAAAGAGGCGTGACACGTGAGACACCTGGAGTGATTGCTCGCTCTGACTCTCTCTTTCCCTCTCTCTATAATGAATCTAAGGATCCCCGACTCCCATTTCATGACAATTTGGTGCGTTAAATTACAAAAATTAGCCACGGATA